CATTAGCTTAAGGTGTCTCTGATATATTGAAAATGGCTGTAGATGTGGCCAGAAGGAAAGAATTGCAAAGTAATGAAGGAATGAAAATGGAATTCTGCAGATATTTGCTTTTTCACTCGGTATTTATGGTGGTAATAGTTAGTGATGGAAGAACTGCAAAAGACTTAGATTAATGGGGTATTAGTTTGGAGTTCCTGCCCAGTTTACATACCTCTAAACTCCAAATGCATTGCAAAAAATTAGCTTTGTTATTTGTGTCTGCAAAATTTGGGCTAGATATTTCCTTAGGAGAGGCTATTGGATAATAGATCTGGTGATTCTTTTTCTGGAAACTAAACCTGCAGTTGAGTTTAAAATGTTGGAAATGAGACTGTGCATGAGGAAAGGCTATGCAGGAGAAGATGTAACATATCTTTCTGTCACAAAATATAGCAGTATGTGGTTGCCAAATTGTTGAGCTGTTTGCTAGGGGACCTGAGGGACAGGGATCTTGACGTCCTCCAGAAGTGTTAAGGAAACTTGTTATTTATTATATTATATCTAAAAGCCACCCTGTTCTGTCATATCTGTTTACTCTAAGACTATTTTCTTGTGTTTCCTATGTGCATATTCAGTCTTTGTGCTTCTCTTAATCCAGATTTTAGGGGCAATACTTACAGCTGTTTCTACTCTTTACTTAGCACCGATCTGAGGGATATTTCAGGTGAACTGGGCACAAACATTTGCATGGGAGACTTTTTATCAGAAAATGCTGTTTCACTGAAAGCAAAAAGTTCCCCCAGAAGGTGTTATTTTTTTGTAAGGAATTGTGATAAAAATGTCTTTAGGAAAAGGTCAAAATTTTAGCATTTTTAAAGAAATCTGGTTTCTTCTTTTTGGAAGGACTTCTCATTTTAAAATCTATTTTCAATTCCATAGTGAAACATGGTCTCTAAAGTCAAATCTGGGGGGGGAAAAACAGTATTTATTCCAATGCAAAACAAAAATGTGACATTTCCTTATGGAATGGACAGTTTGCGGCTGAACCTGCAGAAATTATGTAAATGTTTCTGTTGTCTTCCCTTGATTCCAAGTACAGGCAAGAAAGGTGGTGTAGCGATGAAGTCCATATCACCAGTGGTTTCTGAAGGAGAACCGCTTGAGTAGGCTCTGCCACAGAGAGCATGAACCTCATGTTGCACACGTGACTTCGTACCATGTAGGCTGTCTGTGCTCAGAGCATAACGCTGTATTGCAAAATAGGTTACCTAGTGCTAAGGCAAAATGTTTAGTCCCAACTGGAGACACAAAAGTGCATCCATATGTAAAAATGCACAGTCTGATTGACGCTGGGGGAGTTCTCAAAACATGTCTCAGTGAGATATAGGAAGGGGCAAAGGTTTGTGGCAAGGTTTTTTTCAAACTTGTTTGCTCACACTTACCTTGGATGTATTGCCAGTGCCTCTGGCCAAGAGATTATCTTGCCTGTGTTTTAAATTGCCTGACAATTGAAGAAACGAATGATTGCTTCAATCTTGGTTAAAATGCTGAACTAACTAAGCTTCTAAGTTGTATTATTCCAGTGCTTCCTACAAAGAAAATTAAGGTAAAAACATCAACATGAATTTCCAAAATGTCTGGAACATTCATCTCCCACTTAGGATCTGAATGGGCTGGAAAGACTCTTGGACTATAACATCACTAACTTGTAACACTGGAATCAATAAATACGTTTAGTATCCTCCTATTTTAAGAAATTGTAGCACACTACTTATAAAACGTAACTTTAGACCTGTATTGCCCTATGTTTTGGGGGGGTCTGTTACATCTCTTAAGTCAGGCCATTTACTGAGTTGTTGGCAAGGATGTCTATGTGAACTTCAGGAAATAATACAGAGCATCAAGCACAGGCTGTGGACAAAGCCTGTCAGTGGTGTGGGATGTTACCCTGGCTTTATTGGTCAAAGTGGAACTCCAAACCTTGCTGGTAGGAAGCCTGTAAAAAGGCTGACATTGAGACTTTGCTGTGTGTTGATCAGCAATGTTGCATCTGCACAGGGAAAGCTATGGAGGTCTTTCTGCAGAACACCAAAACAGTCATAAGCAATCTTTACAGTTCCTCACTGTGATCTTGGATAACTAAAAAGGACTTTTCTAAGTCTTCTGTTGTCACACATAGTACCAATTATTTACAAAGTAAATTCTGCTTTATGAGTTTTAGGACACCTCTATTTCTCTACCTTCAGTTTGGCTTTCTTGGTTCTCATGTTTTCCTTCTGTCATCATTTCTGCCCTTGATACTGCCTTCTTTACAACAAGAATTTATCTACCCGTGTCTTCAAGAGCTTTTCCCAGTGGGCTTCTACGCCTCTCCATCCCTCTGCTAATGGATTAGATGGGAAATAGTTAAGACCAACATTCCCAAATGTTGTCCAAAAGTTTTTCAATTAAGCCGAGTCACCAAAACGGTTGCCATTGCTTCGTGTTTTTTCTGCTGCTGATTCTAGACTACAACTCTGTGCATGCTAAATGGAAAAAGAAGCTAATTTTTGCAGTCATAAACATTAGATAATGTCTTTCAAGCAAAAGCTCAAATTTCATGATACCTATCACATGCTCCATCATTAAGGGACATGTCTGACACTATTGCAAAAACAGAGAGCAGCTGTGATCCTGAACATACTCATTTTCTGTGCCACTGTAGCCAGGACTGTGGTAGATTTTAAACTCTGTTCCAGAGGCTCTGAGTCCCAGCCAAGGTCCTGCAGAGCTGGCTGAATTTTTCCATTTAAAGCATGTTCTCGTCCCCAGATGACTTTGTGCAGCACTGGCTGGCAGCGGCAGGTGCGCGAGTGCCTAGTCATACCACAGGGAAGGATCACAGAATAGAAATATTTCATCCTTCGTGACATGGTATCCTAGAAGAGTATGGGATAGCAATACTGTTGCCCTAGGTAATCCAAACCTGCAAGGCTCTCCTCCATAGCACTGAGATAATACACACGATGAGCTGGGTCCCCGAGCATGGATGATATTTCTCAGTCCAGTTTGCATTTGCATGTGTGAGTTGTAGGATGTTTAATACATTTCAAATTCTTTGCTATTGCCAGGCAAATGCTCGCCTTGGTATTTCTGTGTGATTCTGTACAATCTCAGGTGCAACTTGGAGACTTCTTATAAAGGTTTGATTTGTAGGAGTGACTTCCCTTCATGATCTGTAAAAGCTTTATGTGAGAAAAAATAAGTGTTTCCAGCACCTAAAGAAAAAAATCTTTATGGGTCTTTCCTATTCAGAGGGGGTAAGATTGGTATGTTCAGTACTACTTTATGGTCGTTCTGACCTGTTAAATTTATTTTTGCATAGTTTTTGTAATAATTCCATGGGAATATAGCAATTGCCAAACCAATGGCAATCATGAAATACTTGATGATTCTATTCTGGTGACCTATGGAAAGCAAAGCTGCTTGCCCTCTTCTTTTCTGTTGCCCATATCTTTAGCTGCTGCATTCGAATAGTGAGTCTTACATTGAGGCTAATGTAGAAGTTACTCCAAAAATGGCAGTTACTCTAGGGTAAAAACTAACATGAGGTTGGAGTGAACCCTAATCCAATACTTTTAGTTTACTACTGGGTAATGTTTTCCTTTCAATGATTCTTAGTGAAATGCTTCACAGAGGAGCTGAAAATTGGCAAAAATACTGTTTTTGAATATTTGGCTCCAGCTGATTTTATACCTAGAAGCAGAACTGTGGATGATCTGCTACAACTGGTTAATTAAATCCTGTGCTGTTAGCCCTCAATTAGATGCATTAAATGGCAAACCTTGTTAGCAGATTTGCTGGCCAAATATGGAGAGATTCCGTATATCATCCTGACTACTTTATATTTGAGCTCTTAAAGAATATATGCAGCTTGTCTAAAAAAGTGTCTGTATGTACGAGAGGAAAAAAAGAAACAGATTTCGGATCTCTCCTTCTGATGGTCTGTCTGCCTGTGTCTCTGTTCAATGAGTGGGGTAAAACTCCGCTTACTTTTTTTTTTTTTTAATGTTTCTTGGACTCTTACCAGCAGGTTTTTACAGGCTGTTGCCTGCCTCTCAGATTAGAAGAACACTGGCATATTTTAACAGTTTCCTAGGATCCAAATAGTCTTTAATTAACAGGGAATTGATGTTTTGGAGTGCAACCAAAACATGGGAGACATTGGAAGCAGAGAATGGGCTTGGATCCTTCCAGCTTTTCGCTGGCTATGGCAAGGGGCAAACAAATAAGTGAAATAGGGCCCAGTGCAAACAGGTAGTGACTTATTGGTATGCAAGGGGATTTCTTCATTTGCATTATGTTCCCACAGAGCTGGTGGTTGGTAGTGTTAGCCGGGAGGAGCTTTCTGCTGTACAGAGTCTGAATCAGCTCCACCCCTTGCAAGAGCAGAAAGTGTTCGTTAGTACCTTCCTGTAAACAGAATTTCAGTGGCTGCTGAAATTGTTCTTAATTTAGAGGTGCATTGATCAACTGTTGAGGCAGCAAGGTATGTTGTGTTTCTGAGGTTTAAGTTGACTCTGAAGCTGTAAGCTCCATGAGTGAGCATTTAATTAAAAAATCAAAAGTCTGCAAATGACGTGACTTTTGCTGAGCCGAACAGCTAGTTGTTCTTTTTCTTCTGGAGCAGTTTGCCTTTGGAGGGTTGAGCAATAGGGTTGGGATGGAACACTGAAATTATAGCAGAATGAGACTAGCTGAAGTTCTAAGGAGAAGTCAGACATACGCTGAACTGTTGTTCCAGATAATCCAGGGAGAGAGATGGTTTATTAGCTAATTTTAAATAATGATAGACTGATACCTGAAGCAATTGCTGGCAAAGAATTATAATCAACAGTCACTGAGTCAGCTGTGCTTTTTTTCAGTAATGCAGTAATTTGTGGACAAATAAAAATGTATTTGTTTAATCCAACATTGGCTTTTTTTTTCTTCCCCCTAGTCATAGTACTTGCTGAATGCCTTCTGTCTTTTTCTACACATAGGTGGTACATGCCAGAGCCCTGCTCTTCCAGCCCTAGTGCGTCCTCCTGCTCCACCTTTGCAGCCGTCGCTGGATATTAAACCATTTCTTCCATTTCCTCTGGACACTGCCGCAGCAGTCAACCTCTTCCCCAACTTCAATGCAGTAAGTACACGCCTAACAGTTACTGTCCACTTCAGTGAGCCACAGTTTCCATGGAAGGCTCAAGAGGGCACAAAGTAGAATTTTATGTACTCAATTAAACCTGGAATATCCTCTCCCTTACTAAGGGCCAAATAGCTCTTTCAGACACACTGGTAGGCCATAAATTAAAGCCTAGCTGAGTGTTAGCCAGAAGTAATGTAGAAGGAAAAAATTATATGATCCCAAGCGACATGCAATAAAGTTGCAGGCCATATTCAATCCCAGGGCTTGTGAGTTTCCCACTCTAATTTAAGATGCACGGAGTTTCACTAACCTACAGCTTGCTGCAACTCTGAGAGTGAAACTCCCAGGGTGATGGTGTTCTACATCCTGTCTCCAACAGGCTTCCCGAGAAATACTTAAAATTTACAAATTGGAGGGGCTACAAAAGATAAAACTGTCAGGGCAATTAGAGTAAGAATGAGAACAGCATTAGCTGGTATATGAGCTATTCACTGGAAAACAATCAAGTGGGGTTTTTTTCAGGTTAGGATATGTTATTTCTCACACATTAGGTTAAAACAAGATTAGATTTGTCTTTAATAATTTTTTTACTTAGTCATACTATCTATGATTATAGAAATCTTATTCCTCCTTAAATATTTTCATTATTTTACTGACATATGTAATGAATGTTTCAATTTTCCTCTTTCTGGCTGAGATACTTAATGCTCTAAAAGGAAAAAAAAAAAAAAGTCTGAATTGGTTTTATGTTAATTTTGACTTTATAGAATTAAGCCCCTTTTTAATTTGAACACGCTCTGGGAAGTTCTTTTCCTTATTTACATATACTAGTTATAGAAAAAAAAGACTAAGAATGTGTATGCTTACCTATTTTGAGAGACACAGGGGTAGAATTTGCCATGCCAAAACAATTCTAATAAACATGCAAAAATCTTAATTACAATAATTAAGAGTAGTAAAAGAACATGCCCATTCTAGAAGCAATTTGCAGTAATCAATAGCAAATTTCTGTAATTAAATGTTCATTTATTTACCTTTTATGGATGTTCATTTTGCTTTAAAGTAATTAAAATGAACTAATTGCCAAAAGTTTTATTTATGCAGTCTTAAATTCATGCAATTCACAGCATTAATAGAGATCAGAGAAGATATAAGCTCCAAGTCTTTAAAATTCTCAGGAACAATATGTCAAAAATATATATCAAAATATTACAAAGAAACTTTTTGAAATTTTAAAATGTATATAGGTATGCAGCAAAGTTTTTAAGTGCTGGTTTTAAACAAGTTAGTGATAACTCATAATGAAATGGATAAACCATTAGACTTGTTTAGTATGCTTTAGGGTTTTTTTACCAGTTTTGCTTTGTGACCGCTGTATTTAATGCAACAGGCCAGCTGAATTTTTAGAAATTGTCTATTAGAATTTCTGGGTTTTTTCAGGATTTTCCGTAGTTCAGTATCTTCAGATTGTTTTGCAAACTGTTTAACTCTGCATAATTCAAATGCAATTTTAATGATTAATTTTAATAAATAATTGTTAGTCTTGCATTGTTCCATAAATCTGCAGTTTCTCTTTTCTTACAAAGACTGATTTTATACTATAATTGTCTTGGGGGAGAGGCTGGGGAGGATGTGCTCATATTAATTTGGAAGTAAGAAAGTAAAACTAGATTCCTATCAAACCCCCATTATTCCCAAAAGTCATCTTAGTAGTATATTGTTTGGTATAAGCACTGTAGTTGGACTTTACAGACTACTCATCCCTTCGGGTTTTTCAGTAAACTGAGCCTAGGTTTCAAGAGAGAGACTAGAAGCCCTTTTTACAGCACACTGGAGTTCCTCCCCATGCAAAGTCCGGCTTCCTGTGATGTGTGGCTCTCTGCCAAGTCCACCTTTGCTGAACATGTCAGTCCCAAGTGTGAGGATGCTGTCATCAGAGCTGCCATCACCTGCCTTGCTGCTCACAGTCTTTGTCTTGCAACGTGACCTTTGCCTTCTCATCATGTGTGCTGACACGCAGCAGCATCCCCAGCGTTCCAATTTTCATTCTGAACAGTACATTATTGAATGCTGCTATGTTTAGCTCATATGCCAGAGCTGGTTAATGGCATCTTCCAAACATGTAGGCCAGCTGAGAAGTTCTGCATATTTCCAGAAATTCTTTCCAAGCTGACGAATCTTTTGGGGACACATCAGCTGCTGCTGAGCATTGTCAGCTCATTATTATTCTCCTTCAGGAGAAGGTAACCCGCAAGTCATACTAGACTTCAAACAGATGTCTGACAAGGGCTTTAAGTATGTGAATGTGAGGCAGAAAACAAGTGTTTAACCAAAAAATTGTCTTCATAAATATGCAAGTTCATGAGCGATTGTAGCTGTTGATAATGCTTGGTATTCCTTGACTTCATTGACAATCCTACGTAGTGTCAGCAGAGAAACGCTTACGTTCTGTGGCTAAACCAACGCCAAGCAGGTGGTTAGTAAAAGAACAACTGAACTGGACATTCTCTCTTGTGTTGTCAGTAGATTAGTTTTACTCTTTTCTGAGATGTCAAGGTCATAGATTGTGTCTTAGGAAATGGATTTCTAAAGACCTCTTGACCCCCACACAATTCCACAGCAACTAATGAGTTTGACAGCACGTCCGAGCTACTTCCCAAGAGGCTAGAAGGAATTCCAGAGTTTTGGCCATTTACTGGCCACTTTTCAACAGCCTTCACTTGACAAGAGCATGGCCTTGAGTAAAAATTCAGTCATGTTTCAGAGAAAAGAAGTGGTCTCTGGTTATGGCAATCCTAACTTGAGAGTTTGGTTGTGATAGGCGTAGGTATCTGAACTAATCAGCCTAAGTTTCTTTGGAAAAGATAATAGAGAAAAATGAACAATTTCTCCATTTTTTTTAGGTGGAGAAAAACACACAAAGGTAGGTTGCAATACAAGTGCCCTATATGTCTACTTTGGCATGAGGTGAAGCAAACCTTGAAAGATCCCGTTCACCTCCCCTGACTATAATGAGGAACTGGCTCAGCTGCATCTACGTTTGGTTAGGCGAATCCCACATTACAGGACAGGTCATACGCTATTCACAGCTGATATACTAAATTCTACTCAGAAATCAGATGACAGAAGTTCTGACGTTGTATTGTATGTTTACAGAGGAATGCTGCCATTTATCAAGCAGTTATACTTCTACCTAAAGACAATCTTAAAGGAATTTGACGATTCAGGGGAACTGGAGAGAAATATTAGGAGAGGTGAAAGCAAAAGTAATTTACCAATGGAGAATCTCAGGCACATACACAAAACCAAATGCTGAGCTTAAGTATCACAATCAATAATAAAAAGGTGTTGTATTCTATAATAAACTGAAATAAGAGTGAAAAATTATTACAAACATAAGATTACTTTATTACTCATGATTTTGTTGTAAAGCTGGCTCAGTTTTTGCTGTCTGCCTCTGAAGAAAACATTCAGCACCGATTTCTACAAAGGCAAAAGCTTTAATCAGAACAGAGAATAGAAGAGATAATACGGGGTGTGCAAATGTTTATCAGTAATAAACCTGGACACTGAAGAGAGGGAAAAGTAAAAAGCGAGTAACCTAAGAAATGCAAGGAAGATAACACATGAACCTTTGAACCATTCAGTTTCAGGAGGAACATTTTCTATTTATACAAGAAGGCGTAAAGCAAACATACCAATTAGCAATCTGGTTAGCTGAACGTTTGTAGGTGCTATGCTCTTAATTGTGAAGCAAATGGGTACCCTCAAGTCATATATAAAAAGAAATTTTAACACCACAGCTGTTTAAGCTGAAAACAGCCCACTGGTGCAGACCCTGAAGAATCACAAGTTCATTGCAAGTTTATCTGATATAAAAAGATTATTTGAGTGCATGGGATTTAAATGGCTAAATTTTATGAATGAAAGAAACTAGGGCTATAAACAATTCTTATAAAGCTTTTTAAGATATGATTTGAAGATTGTCAGAGAAATAGAAAAATAATTGTCTATTCTGAAAAATATTTAAGATCATTTCGATTTGAAGATTGTCAGAGGAATAGAAAAATAATTAAATTGTCTATTCTGAAAAATATTTAAGATCATTTAGCAAACATTTGGTATACTTCTGCATTTTCATCTGCAGAGTGAGAAGCTTTAAGTCTGTGTGCTTCTAAGAACTGGTTCGTAGAGACACAAAGCTTTAGGGGTTGTATTGACCAGCATGCACTGGTCCATGAGTGCATGTGAGTGTACATATGTGGTTCATCAGCCAATGGTTGGTTGCAAAGAAATTTCACAAAGCATCAAAGTCTAGAAGTTAATTAACTTGTAGGAAACTATTGATATGAGTCCTTGGACTAAGAGGAAATGCTTCATTTTCATTTTATCAGTATCAGCCCTAAGTGACCTTCCCACAGAAGAAAACTCAGATCTTTTTTATAGTTGCCAAAGCCTATCATCCTCAAAGCACAGATGCATCAGAAACCAGATTTTGCTTATTTCTGAAGCTCTCAGAATTATATATTTCAGCCTCCTGAGAGACAGAATTTAAAGTTTACAAACCCAGGACATTTGCCATTGCTAGGTGAAAAATCAGACAATGCATTGCACTCCTTTCTTGTTTATTCTTTGAAAGATATGCTGACCATTTTCCTGAAAAATTTCTAAAAAGTATTGTATCACACTTTGTAGACTGTAATATGAGCATAATCTGTAGTGGAAGAGGTCCACAATGTAGAACATCTGAGTAAATGCTTGTAAGCAAAAATATGGATGCTGCTTGAAAAGCTCCATATTAACTCCAAATTAAAGCCTGATCTCCCCTTGTTGCCAGTGGAAAGTTTCCCAAAGAAGCATCCTTTGGAAAGAAACATGATTACAGTTTTGAGTAGAAACATATGGCTTGGAAGAGCAGTGGCCGTGTCAGAACTGTACTAAAAACGGGTGGAACATGAACTATTACTCTACAGACATCTCTGTCTCATGATCCATCT